AACATCGGCGTGCATATATCTGTTCTTGTTATGGCTCTCACTTCTTTAGGGTATATACCTAGTAATGGGATGGCTGGGTCAAATGGTATTTGCATTCTTTGGACTGTTTTTATGTATCTCTGCTTTTCCTCACTCTTCTTTGCTCCAGATTAAGAAGGACCAATAGCTGCATCTTAGATGGTCACCTGCAAGCTTTTAAGATCCCAGTTGCTACTCACTTAAGTAAGATGTAGAACAGTATTTCTGAATACACTCTTCAGTCAACTGAGCTTGATATCCCCCATAACCATGGTTCCTAGCCCACAGGCCCAGCGACTCACTCCTTCAAGGTGCTTAGCTGTGGCTAAGAAGTTATCCTAAGTTTATGCATTAGCATTTTTATAGCATATACAAATACATATGTAGGAATATTGTTGTTTAGTTATTATTATTGCCTTTTATTTTATCTTTATAAATCCAATCTTTGAACATCTATCTACAAGTGAACATCTAAGAATGACAACATCAGCAAATTACATGCTGCAACACTGTGTGTAGTACATATTATTAACAATAACATGTAAAACAAAACAAAAATAAGATGGTAGTGCAGTTTGTTAGAACTTGAAATTTTGTAAGCTGAACACAACTTTACCAAGTTCTTGTCTCTCATGTACAAATAACATAACTGAGTGTAGCAGCAGAGTGTGAGGGAGAAAACCCTGGAATGAGGCAGGGCCCACAATTCTTGCCTGGCTCTGCCACCTTACTGACTGAGAGGCCTTGGACAAGTCTCTTTCCCTTTCTCAGTTCCTGTTTCCTCATCTGTGAAATGGGTATCATAATGACAATGCCTATGGTTGCTGAGACTCCATTAACATGAAAAACATACAATATACTTGATGAATCATCAAACAAAAGGGATAATTATGATTGGTAAGTATGTTTACACAATGCAGGGCTTTGGCTTCTTCTTCTTGTTGTTATGTGCCGTCGAGTCAGCCCTGACTCATAGCGACCCCTGCTTGGGTTTCCGAGGCGTTATCACTACGGAAGAAGATTGCCCAACCTTTCTTCTGAGGAGTGGCTGGAGGGTTTCAACCACCAGCCTTCTGGTTAGCAGTCAAGTGCTCTTTAGGCACTATGCTACCAGAGCTCCTTTGGGTTCTTAGCACGATCCAGTAATATAGTTCCAATCTACAGGGCCTTTATGCACCCAACTGAAGGCTGAATTTTGGTCTAGATTTCTTGCAAGCTCTGGAAGATCCATCCCTTACAAATTTCTCATTAATAAGTCAATTTAAATGCTTGTTTCTTCTTCAAATCTTCTTCAAGCCAGCAAAGCCAGCCATCTCTGAATCTCTGTCCTAAGTAAGCACTTACTAAGGAGTTCTTAGTTACCCTCCCCTGCCCTCTGCTCCTTCACTCAGCTTTAGTGCAGAACTCCTCAAGTACCCCCCAGTTCTGGTTACCTTGTAGGGTACTTCTCCCAGCCTCACCACTCTTGCTTGTTTCAGCCATGTGTCCCTGGAGTGCAGGGTGTGCACACAGTCCCTAGAGGAGCGAACACAGGGAGACAAAGGACAAACTCAGTTCATGTTCCACCTGATAGGCGGTGCTATGCACAGGTCTGCAGAACAGAGGTTCTTTATCATCCTGTGATGGAAAGAAGGAAGGAAGCTCAGCCCTACTGACTCTCCCCAAGCTCTGCCTCACAGCCAGGAGGAGGTTCTGCTCATAAAGCACCCAGAGGATCTGGGTCAGGCAGATCGCCTCTAACTGTGACTTCCTGTCTTTTTGAGGGGTCTGCGTCCTCTTAGGATTTCTAAGTTAATTGGAGTTACTTTATCTGCCACTTCATGTCTTGCCTTTGCCCATTCTCCCCTTCCTAGGTTTTTCTCTCCTCTACTGCCCAAGGCCTACAGAGGCGTAAGTCAATTTCCTCCCAGAAGGCCTGGTGCGAGTCTGGTCTAGGGTTAAACACCAGGGACAGGAGACAAGTGACCAGAGAAGGAGAAAATCAACTCCAAAAAAGATTACATAGAATCAAGTTACAATCAGTTAATATAACGATTACACATAAATGGAATAGTCAGTTTGTGGCAGCCTGCAATGATGGGCAAGATCCTGTGGCTTTATTCTCCTACCAGAGATAAGAGCTCTGGTGGAATAGTGCCTAAGGCATTTGACTGTTAACCAGAATGTTGGTGGTTCAAACCCACCAGAAAGAAGAAGGGACAATCTACATCTGTAAGGATTTACTGCCTGGGAAACCCAATGGAGGTCGCTACTAGAGCAAAGAGCTAACCCACTGTAACAGTGATGTGGTGGCCTCAGAGGACCTTAACTTCATGAGGAGGAGGGAAGAATCACTATCAGCATCCACAGCCCAAGGCTGATTACTATGAGGTGAGGTCAGACATACCACCTTTTTAACAATCCTAACACCAATCACTCCTCCCATGGCACCCTCTACTTCTCTGCTGGGTTCAATGATTAGCTGCAATGCCACACAGAACTCACAGCTACACTCACAGATATGGGGTTTACTGGGAAATTAACAGGTAACAATTCAGGATCAAGAAAGCTATAGGATACATCTTTGATCAGGACAGCCTCTTCTTAGCCATGCCTGCAGGCAGACCTTGCTATGGCCCTCGAGTCCCTTGGCCTGCCCAATGTCCTGCTTGGGCAAGGGTTACAAAGTTCTTCAGCTCTGCCAATAAATGCCCGGGGCAACCCACTCTGCCCAGAAGCCTCCTGCCCTTAGTCACTCAGCTCTTTCACTCTGTGGGTCAGATCCAAGTCAACAGCAGTAAGTTTGGTTTTGGTTTGGGATAGCAAAACTGATCAATCCTCTCTTTAGTGTTCAATACACCTTACTTGAATGGTCCCACCCCCAAAGGGTACCTAGCATCTTTTACCTGCTACTATTAGCAGGTTGTCCAATCACCTTGGTGGGCCACAAGCACATTATTTATACAGTTCCACCCAATCTTTTTGTGGGAGTTACAAAACCATGGCTAGAAAGACTATATCAGTAACAATCCATTGCACTGCACCCAGAGTTGCACAATTCTATTTTCCAATGAGTTTCAACTTCTTCCCTTACCAAGCCTTCTCCTTTGCTTACTGAGCATTCTTTAACAGGTCATGTTCCTATCTTCTTTAGTCTGAATCCCTAAATTCTGTCCAGAGAGAGAAGCTCCAATAAGTAAGGGTTCTAAGGTTCCCGAGTGCAGAAATCAGGACCTTTCCAAATTATACCAGTCTGAATCTCAACATAGTTCAATGGATATGGGTCCAAGCTTGTTTAGCTGAGTGATCCTGAATAAGGCACTTAAGTTCCCAAGCCTCAGTATTCTCCTTCCTTCTTTTCACAAGGGTGCTGGAAGAACCAAACGCTCTCTAAATGCTGAAGCTGGGCTTCTTTATCAACAGAATTACTTTATTACAGCTCCACCCCCACACTTCCATGGACAGCAAACATCTTTGACTGTCTAAAGGAGTAATCATATCACAAGGATGGTCTTCAGAGGACTCCTCAAGACTACTGCCCTGAGATACTCTTCAAACCCTGAACCAAAATTTACCCGAGGTCACCTTATAGCTAACTAACAAACAGGCTCAAAAGATATCACCCGTAAATACTGTGCTCCTTTAAAAAGTTACCTATTGATAAATACATACAATGGCATACTACTCAGCCAGTAGGAGAAATGAAGTCTTGCTACATGCTAAAGTATGGATGGAGCTTGAAGACATTATGCTGAGTGAAATAAGCCAATCACAAAAGAACAAATACTACATGATCTCACATACAAAAAGACAAGAAAAGGCAGATGTATAGAGACCAAGTTTACCTGGTACAGGAGGAAGGTCGAAAAGGGGGTTAATGTAATTGATGTCAGAAAAATGTACACCTGTAAAAAGTTGAATTGGCAAAAATTATGTGATATATGTACAACAATTAAAAAAAAAAAAAAAAAAGAGTAGCTGCTAAAGCTGCTTGTGTATGACCAAACACCTCAAGGGATTTCTTCCTTAGTTTGGAAATTCAGTGTTATGGTTTCATGGGACATCTCAGCTAACTGACCTAATAACATGTTTGTTGTTGTTATTGTTATGTGCCGTTGAGTCAGATCCAACACATAGCGACCATTCCTTGGGTTTCCGAGGCAGCATCACCACGGAAGTAGATTGCCCAACCTTCCTTCCAAGGAGTGGCTGGTGGGTTTGAACCGCCAGTGTCCTGTTAGCAGTCAAGTGCCTTAGGCACTATGCTACCATAGCTCCCAATAACATGTTTAGTGCTTCTGTTCTACCTCCTAGTTCATCAAATAGTGTCTGGGGTCTGAAAAGCATGCAAGTGGCCATCCACGGCACAGCAATTGAGAAGGAGTCAGGAATAGGAGAATATGGAACATGTACCTAACTGTCTCCATGAATAACTGCCCTCCTTTGCCATGAGACCAAAAGAACTGGATGGTACCCGACTACTATTACTGAATATTTTGGTCAAAAATTCCATAGAAGAATCCTGACCAAAAGAGGGAAAATAAAGAACAGAATTTCACATTCTCATAGACTCTATAGACTTTCTGGAGCCATGGAGGGTAGATAAACCCCTAAAACTATTGCCCTGAGACAATCTTTAAACCTTAAACCAAAAACATCCCTTGAAGTCATCTTAAAATTAAAAAAAAAAAAAGAGCTCTGACAGCATAGTGCCTAAGGCATTTGACTGCTAACCAGAAGGCTGATGGTTCAAACCCACCAGCCACTCCTGGGAAGGAAGACTGGGCAATCTACTTCTGCAGATATTGTCTTGGAAACCCAAGGAGGGGTCACTATGAGTCGGATCCGACTTGACGGCAGTGAGTTTGGTTTTGGTTGTGAGCATGATGGTCTTTTAAGAAATATCTATATTGTTGTCAGTGAAGACAAACATGGATATATGGATGGATAGATGGGTGGACAGGCTGAACTATTAGGTATGTCTTTGAAATGGGGAGTGTATCCAAGAACATACATAAGGTTGGCAGACAATGGTCCTATAAGTTTATGTGAATGATCAGAATTCCCAGGTGTATAGTAGAGTTGACAAGGGGAAGGTTGTGGTCACTGCTTGGTCACAGCCAGCTATCCAGAGGGACAGATTAGTTGAACCTGTAGGCTTGGGTCCTTAGTCGCAGGGGACATCAAGCTCAATTGGCATAACATACTATATAAAACATTGTTCCACCTCCTACTTTGGCAAGTAGCGACTGGGATCTTAAAAGCTAGCAAGCTGCCATCTAGTTGCAATGACGGGTCTCTCCTTGTCCAGAGCAAAAAAGAATGAAGAAAACCAAAATTCATGGAAACAATTAATCCTAGTGACTGGTACACCATCTGATCTGCAGCCTATACGACTATGAGACCAGAAGAACTAGACGGTACCCGGCTACCACTGACATCCACTTGGAAGGGGATCTATGTAACAGATCCTTGACAGAGAGGGAGAACAATGTGGAACAAAATTCAAAGTCATTTGGAGAAAAAAAAAAAAATGTGGGTACCAGGTTTGCTGGTCCGATAGAGTCTGGTGGAACCATTGAGACTATGGCCCCTAGCTGCCCTTCAGGTCTGGATTGAACCCACACCTGTGGTTTCCAGCCAAACAGAAGACAGGCATATGAGTTGAACATTTACCTGAGGTAGATACACTCCTTGGAGAGAACAATCATTGGGGAAGGAGGGGTTGCTTTTGTCCGGGGGGCCGGTTCGGGGGGCGGGGTCGTTTGGGGGATAGACACTGGGAAGAGGTAACTATGGGGAGGAAGTGGGAGGGGAACTGTTGCATTGTGGTAAACTGTGGTCAATGTCATGAGACAAAGTATATGTAAACTGCTGTATGGAAAGTGAATTTGCTCTGTAAATCTTCACCCAAATCACAATAATAATAAAAAAAAGAAATATCTATATTGGATCAACTTGACAGCAATAACTCAAAAGATTACATAGGAACCTTACGGAGAAATGAGTTTATATTAATGAGGGAGGTTCAACTCACAAAAGAGGGTAAACATGGTTGTACAACTTAAAAAATGTAATTAATGTTAGTAACCTGTATACATACAAACTGTTGAACTGGTATATATCGCTGTGTATATTCTCAACAACAACAAAATAAATAAAATTTAGAAAAAAAACACCTATATAAGACCAAATGGTCAACAGTTTCTTTAATACAAAGATGAGAATGTAAGAAGGCAGGGAAACTACATTAATGGAAATGGAACTACCACAATGGAAACAATGAGAATGTTCATGCATTGTGAAGAATGCAACCAATGTCACTGAACAATTTGTATAGAAATTATTTAATGGGAACCTAAACTGCTGTGTAAACCTTCATTGAAAACATATTATTAAAAACAACAACAAAATAAGTTTTAATTTCTTCTCTATATCCCCTTGTGTTTCTCTTATATATGGCCTTTCTAGTCTTGAGTTTATAATTCTGCCAAAATGACTGGCTAGGCCACAATCCTGCAAAAGGATTGGCTAGTTTACTATGCAAATTTAGAGTGACTGTAGTCTACTGAGGGGATTGGTCAGTTGTGGTCTGGCTGGGAGGGCCATGCCTTGAAAGTTAATATAAGGGCCAATCCCACAGAGATTGGAAGAGTCCTCTCTGGCATTAAGTAGAACCCAGAATAGAGTATGTTTTTTGGACCTGGAGTCTCTGCGCTGAGAACATCCTAGATTCAGAAGAGAAAGCTGGAACACTGAAGATGATGTGAGATGGTGAGAAAAGGCAGCAAAGCACAGCAGAGCCCAGTGGTAGAGAAATTACAGTACCAGTACAAGTGTGAACCAGGAGACCAGTGCAAAGTGACTGCAGTGGGCTTGCTGGCCCGTGGAGTGAGAGAGCTGACTGCCTTTGGACAGGATGCTTGCTAATGGAGTGGGGTGACTCCAGGCACTTGTTGGTAGAGCTAAAGAGCTATAACCCTTGTCTGAACAGGGCAGAGGCCTAGGGAAAGTCTTATCAGCTGACACAGCCAAGAGAAAGGCCGCCTACCTGAGGGGATGGCTGAGAAGAGGCTTAGAGTGTCTTGGTTGGAAGATGTCCTCCGTGAAGAACCCTAACAACCATCCTGAGTTGTATTCTGTTACTTCCAAATTAATCCTGATCCCAAGTTGTAGTCTGCTATTCCCTAATAAACCATATAATCCTGAGTATGGTCTGTGAATTCTACATGGCCATTGCAATGAATTATTGAACCCAGCAGAAAAGTAGAGAGTGCTGTCGGGGAGGACAGCTGGTGTCAGAAATTGTGAAAATGTTGGAGAGGGAAACTATGTTTCACCTCCAACTCACAGGAATGAGCTTTGTGCTGATCTTGATTTTCATTCTTCCTCCTGAATACAGACAGGCCCTGATGCTAGATTACACCACCTCTCCCCTATAACAGCACAAGCACACACTAGAGCTCATCCTTGATGCTGCTGTGGACAAATGAAATGTGCTCATCCAGCCCCTTATCAAGAATGAAGGCTACTAATTCTAGGCAACCATATAGCCCACAAGGCCACCTGGGCTGCCTCACTCACCTGGAGTAGACAGCTTCTCCACGACAGTACCCAAGGATAGCAGCTGTCTCAGGGTAGATGGCCTCATATTTCAGGAGATGCCTCTTGAGGGCATAAAGAGGGTGGTTCTTATATGTGCCAATGGCAGTGGGCAAAGGCTGGTCCAGATGTTTTGCCTGAAACTGCAAAGGCCAGATAACGATGAATGTGCTATTTAGAAGAGGAAGTAAGGGCTGCAGTGGACAATGCTTGGATCGACTTGTTCTGATAATAGATGGTGGAGCAGAGGTCTCATGAACACTAATAACCTTGTAACACTGCATTTGTAGTTGTGGCTATTAAGCAGGTTTTAGATAAACCAAAAGCTATGAAGAGTCAAGTAAGTTTATGGCTTACTGCAACGCCATATAACCTATTCTCATCCTCTTAGACAACTTAACCAGCCTAGCAGTTAGTGTCTGCTCTTCTAAAGGTTTTCAATGAAGAAAAATACATAGCTTTCTCCAGTAAGGAAATCTGACTCAATCTTACTTCACTATATCGTAATGCAAGTTTACCTAATCCAGCTTTCAGAGGAAACTGAGAAAAGGTTTTAGCATTTTGTGACTTTTCTCTTAGTCACCTTAAGGAATATAAAAGCCTTAGGCACTATGCCACCAGAGCTCCCTAGTACTTCTTTAAGGATTCTGTTTCTCAGAAGTTAATTCCATTTCTATAATTCAGAACCTGTTCAAAAAGGTACCTTCAGCTTCCCCTTAGCATCTTTTCAAAAACCCACAACAGATCAGTAAGGACTCAATGTCGAGTAGCTGAAAGTACAAGAGGACTCTCTGAACACTGTTTGCCCTGATACATACTTTAATTATGCTAGTAACAGTAATATATGCATAATTTCTATTTAATATATCATTTCTAAATAAAAACAACCCAAAACACTCCCAGAGCAAACTCTCAATGTGGGATGAATTAGCCTTCTGCAGATCTGGGCATGTTCCCATGTAGAAATGCTAAGCTCCCACAGAAACACAAAGGTGGTGGACAGGAAACTCCGCCGTGTTCCTGACAGCAATAGTCAGGTCTAGGATCCAGTAACCAGACACCTTATGCTGTGGAAGTTTCTACTTTCCAGTGTGCCTTCTCAACAGATTGATCTTATTGCCTCATTCCAAGTCCCTTCTTTCCCAGAGATAAGCGTTCTGTTTGAGTAGAGAAGGGGATAATAATTAATGAGCTATTCCTTCTTTCACTTAGTATGAGGTACATGACTTACATAAAGTATTTTAAAGCTCCAAATTTATAACTAAGCAATAACTAAAAGTACACAGGCTTCAAAGCCAGAAACACCTTGGTTCAAATACCACACCAGTTAATCTCAGATCCTCAATTTTATTACTGGTAAAATTAAGACTACTTTATAGTTGTGTTGTGGTAATCAAATGAAGCAACACATTAAAAATACTCAACATTGTGCCAGACACATATGAGGTGCACAAAAATGGGAGTAATTTCATTAATCTGATTGGGTCTTCAAGTCCCTGGCAGCCAAGGCCTTACCTCCAATTCTTCCTTCTTTTCTCTATCCACAAATGGGCTCTGGTATGGCCTCAAGGTTTCAGCCCACCACTTGGCATCAACCCTGCACTTGCGGGTCGCTGTCATCCAGGCTGGGTCGTACCTCTGCGTGACATCCCGTACCCAACCATCATTGTCAATGCCCACGACGTAGGTCATGGGCTTGGTGGCATATTTGTAACAGGTCAGGGGCTGGCCCACCACACCGTGCACACAGTCTACACATATCCACTTTTCCTCCTGCTCACAGAACACCTCTAGCCACTGGTCGACACCAGTTGCTTTCCCTCCTTCCACCTCCTTACCACCACTGGGAATTTTCTCACTTCTCTTGTTGCTTGAAGAGCTTGAGGATGCTGTTGGGGGATTGGGATAGCTTCTATGCCAGGTCTGGGAGTCACTCTTGGACCCTGTCTTTGTTCTCTGAGGAGCTGGAGCCCGCCTCTGCCTTCGAAGGCCTGGGTCAGAATCCTCATCAGATAGAGAATGGCCTTCTCCACCAGAGAGCTCAAAGTCAGAGCTACTGCTGGCCTCGTCACTCCCACTCTCTTCTTTATAAGAAACCCGGGAGGTCACCCTTTGCTCCCGGCCACGCCGCTGTCTCTGGGTCTCCTTCGGCTTTCTTCCTTTGCACTCCTCCTCGCTGGAAGAGGGCTCTCTCTGTTTCTCCCTTCCTGTAGCTGCCTTGCCCCTCTTCCTTTTGGCACTTGGATTGTCAGTGCTTTTAGAAAAGGTTTGTTCTTGTTTAGTTCCTTTGCTGGCCTTTGGTTTGGTTTGGTTTTCTGGAACTTGGCTAGGAGTTTCTGAGGAGCTTCCAGGATTCTCTGTGGACCTCTCCTTGGATGGTTTCTTTCCCTTAAAGAGAATAAGAAATTTTGCTTTTTTTTTTTTTCTTTTCCTCTTTTTATTAATGATATGACAGAGATCCTATAACCTAACAGGCTTACTGGCAGAAGAAACACTGTATGCAAGATGTTCCCTCAGACAGTGACTGGGTATCCTTTAGAGATGGAAGAAAGTATTAGCTAAAATCTGTAGCACCTTAGATAAGGCCAGGATGTAACTCTTTAAACCATAAACTGTAGCACAAAAGAAAGAGCCTGAGATTTAGAAACAGACAAACTTGGGTTCAAATTCCAGTTCTGCCTCTTATTTATTATGTGATTTAGATAAATTATTAACCACTGAGTCTCAATTTCCTCAGCAGTAATATCCACCTGGCACATAGTGCATTTTGCAAACAAATATTAATGGACTTGAGAAAGTTGTAGTTTTGAGACTATAGACATTATTAAAATCAACTTCTGGATTGTCAGGTTTCAGATAATACCAACATTCCTTTTTGTCGGAGCATCTTAACGTTCAGAGTCCTTTACCCATCATCACCCCCCACTGCTTAATGAAGAGAACAGGTACTATCTTACCTATTTTACAGAACAGAAACTAAAGTGCCAAGGAGCTGAGATCATAGGGAGGCCACTATGCATCCAGGAGTCAAATCCCCACACAAAGCTCAGGTTTCTAGATACCCACTCAAGTATTCCCAATCCAAGGTATGTGGAGGGAAGATCAAAAGGATCTAAGCTCCATGAGTAACAACTCTTAAAAATTCTAGTAATCATTGTTTTTGTTTTATTGGAAGTATGATCATTTCTTTCTCCTCCCTGACCAAGTAATCCCCCCTATTTCTCTGGAGGCTCACCTTTGCTGTTGATAACTTCAGAGGAATTGGCTGTAGAGACAACACCAGTCGGGTGAGGAGATGTAGGGCCCGGAGAATCAGTAAAAATATCTGCGATAAAAAAGAATGATATATTTATCCTCAGAAAATAATCAAGGATTTAATTAGCTCAGTCATGTTTGTTGTGGTGCTTGTCTATAACAGAAAAGTTAAACAATCTAAAGACAGGAGACTGAAACCTTCTACATTATTAAAAATGATGCTACAAGGATGTCTTAGCACAAAAATAGGGAAATATTCACCATGTATTCAAAGAGAAGTTTTGTTTAGTTTTTTTTTAAAGGACTGTATGATGTGATTTCATTTTTATATTAAAAAAAAATTATATAAACATGAATATAAGCATACATGAATAGTTGGATAAGGACCTGTAGAGTTGGGTTACAGGTGTTCGCAGGATTTTTTCCCTTTGCTTAGCTATTTTTTCTGATTTTTCTGTATTCAACATGTGTTGCATTTATGATTAAAATAGAATAACAAAATAAAATGTCACTTTGGGAGGAAAAGTAAAAAAGATCATTATCATCAGATTAGGAGCTCTGGTAGCATAGTGCCTAAGGCTAGCCAGAAGGCTGGCGGTTCAAACCCACCAGCCACTCCTCGGAAGGAAGGTTGGGCAATCCTACTTCCGTAGTGATACTGCCTCGGAAACCCAAGGAGGGGTCACTATGAGTTGGGGCTGACTCGATGGCAAATAACAACAACAACAACAACAACATCATCAGATTGCCCAAATCTGTTCCCTGTTTTCCATTCTCCTCACATTGAATCTTTCACCTATAGCTTGCAGTTCTAAAAATTGTCAGCTTTTTTTAATTCTTACTTCTTTTATTATTATTATTATTATTAAATTGTAATTTGGGTGAAACTTTACAGAATAAACAGGTTTTCTATTTGACAATGCATATACATTCTGTTTTGTGACATTTATTGCAGTCTCCACACTGTAACAGCATTCTTCCCACTTCATACTTGTACCCACTCCTTCCCTTTCTTCTTCTTTCCCATCCCCTACTCCTGCCTTCCTAGCATTATCCCTGGGCATATGCTGTCCTCTTGATCTCATAGGCTTAACTGTTCTGATGAGTGAATACCCCCCTGATATTACTGTTCACCTTACAGGGCTATTGTTTGGCTGCCAGTTAACTCATGGGGGTTAAGTTCAGTTCCTAGCTTAAAGGGTATCTAAAGGCAACAGCCTTGGGGTTCTACCAGTCTTCATCAGACCAGTAAGCCTGGTCTTTTTTATGATTGTGAGTTTTGGTCCATATTCTTCCCTATTCTATCCAGCACTTCTTATTGTGATCCCCTTCAAAGTGGTCAGCAGGGAGAGCTGGGCACCATCTAGTTCTTCTGGTCTCAAGGTCATGGAGGCTGGGGTTCATGATTCATGTGCTCAATTAGTCCTTTAGACTGTTTCCACATCTTTGATTTTCTTCACTCTCCTTTGCTCCAGAAAGAGAGAGACCAATAGTTACACCTTAGCTAGCCTCTCAAAAGCTCTTCAGACCCTAGTCACTACTCACCAAAGTAGGACGTAGAGCATTGTCTTTGGTAGACTATGTTATACTGGTTGACCTTAGTGTTCTCCAAGACTATGGTCCTGAGCCTCCATACCCAGTGACTCATTCCCTCAAGGTGCTTGGTTATGACTAAGCCATTTTCATAACTTTGTCCTCTGTGTGTTCTACTATATTCATGGATCTATGTGCAGCACATAAAAATACATAGGTAGAGATAGCCTCTGTTAAACCAATGTATGTATATTTTATTATTACTGTTTTTTTTTAAAATTGTGCTTTTGGTGCAAATTTACAACGTAAATTTGTTTTATATCCAACAGCTCATGCACATTTGCTTTCACACCCCAATTACCATCCCAACTGTAAAAAACTCTCTTGCCCTCCCCTTCCTGTGATTACCACCTTCCTGTGTCCTTCTTAACTATGCATTCTTGCCTGCCCAGCTTTCCCTCTATGTAAATGCTGTCCTGCTGGTGTCTCATGGCTGATTGATCTAAGGGATGCATCTCTCTAGAGTAGGTGGGTGCACTGCCCCAGGGTAGGTAGGTGTTCTACATGTAGGTCTTTCTACTATTGGGCTGAGAGCCAATCCATGGAAGTGAGTCCATTTCTAGGCTCAAAGAGTAACCCAGAGCCATAGTGTCAGGGATTTCACCAGTCTCTATCTGACCAGTAATTCTGGTCATTTTTGTGTTTTTGAATTTTTTCCACATTTTTCCTCCCAATCTATCCAGGATCTCCAGTTTTGATCTGTTTCCAAGTAGTTGGCATTGGTAGCCAGGCACCATCTAATTCTTCTGGTCTCTGGGTCATGAAGGCTGAGGTCCTCATGGTTCATCTTATCCTTGGACTAACTGTTTCCATATGCCTTTGATTTTCTTCCTTCTTCGTTTCAGATGAGAGGAGATCAATAGTTGCATCTTAGATGGCCATGCAAAAGTTTTTAAGACCCCAGTCACTGCTTACCAAAGTCAAACCTGTATATAAATTTGTGGGTATAGTCCCATTTGTTTTCCCATGCCTGTTCAGAATGAATATCTATGCATCCACATGAAAATTACTATTAAATTGCTGTAATTTGTATTCACTTGTGCTACCTTTTCAGAAGGAAGATTGGGCAATCTACTTGTGTAAAGATACCACGTCAGAAACCCAAGGAGGGGTCGCTATGAGTCCAATCAACTCAATGGCAGTGAGTTTGGTTTTGGGTTTTTTTAGTTGTTATCTTTAACCCTTGTGCTCCTTCCTGTGTCTTCCACTGCCTCGATAAAAATTCTGTTAATATTTAAGGATAGGAGCTTCATCAGGGGAATTAAAATAGCAATGGTGTAATGTGTTTGAGCAAGATCTTCCTTTAGAGATCGCATGGTCCTTATATTTCTCATTAATTTCTACAGTACTGTTGTGAGAAAGACAATCAGAAACTGGAAGATAGATGTTCTGTAAAAAGTCATGTGATGATGAGGAAAATAATTACTTTTGCCTTGTTTCTCCTGGGATTAAAAATAGGGAGTGAGGAGAGGGGATGGGAAAACATCAAAGAAACCAAACTTGAGTGACCCTTTATAAAATTCTTAACTAGCTCCTCTTCAAAACTGTCAAGGTTATGAAAGAAAAGGAAAGACCAAGAAACTCATAGATTAGAAGATACTAAGGAGACATGATGACAATAAATTCAATGTAGTATCCTGGGTTGGATCATGGAACCAAAAACAGACATCAGTGGGAAAACTTGGAAAATCCAAATAATGTCTGTACATTAGTTGATAGTGTTGTGTCATTATTAATTTCTAGGTTTAGCATGTTTAGTACCACATAGGAGCACAGTTTTAGAAGTTCAAGTAACTGGGTATTCATCATTACCTGAGTGACTTCTCTAAGCCTAAATTTCTTCTTCTATAATAAACCCTGCTGTCTTTCTCAAAGGAGCTCTGGTGGCATAGTGCCTAAAGCATCTGACTGCTAACCAGAAGGTTGGCAGTTAAAACCTACCAGCCACTCTGCGGAAGGACGACGGGGTAGTCTACTTCCATAAAGATTTACTGCCTCAGAAACCCAAAGGGGGTCGTTAAGAGTTGGAATCGACTTCATGGCATGAGTTTGGTTTTTTTGTTTTTTTTTTTTGGTGTCTTTCTCAGAGTGCTACAGGGAGGTTTAAATAAAATAATGTATGCAATAATGTGCCGGAAACAGTCTACAGGAAGAAAACTATGGGACCTAATCTTTTGTAGAAATAAGATAAAGAATCCAACAAATGCACAAAGAAAACAAAACCGATAAATGGGATCTCATAAAAACTTAGGCTTGTCAAAAGATGTGAAAAGACAATCTTCAGACTGGAAAAAAATCTTTGGAAATGATTTATCCATTAAGGGTCCAATCGCTAAGATTTATAGAGAACTGCAACAACTCAACAATAAAACACACACATACATACACACACAGCCATCAAGTCGGATCCAACTCATAGTGACCCCTTCTTGGGTTTCTGAGGCAGTATCATTATGGAAATAGATTGCCCAACCTTCCTTCCGAGGAGTGGCTGGTGGGTTAAGACAACCTAATTACAAGGCTGCAAATTTTTACACAAGTAGATTGCCTCATCCTTTCATGGGCTTGAACCACTAACCTTCTGGTTAGCAGCCAAATGCTTTACCCACTACTCCACCAGAGCTCCTTAATACTAGTGCTATACCCTAAAATAATTTCACAAACAGACATATGCACACCTATGTTCATTGCTGCTTTTTTGACAACAGCAAATAAATGGAAACAAATTGTCTAGTGAGATGAATGGATATGCAAACTGTGGTACATACACAAAATGGAATACCACACAACTATGAAGAACAATGATGAGCACATGAAACATATCAGAATATGGACAGACTGGAGGACATAATGTGAAGTGAAAGAAGTCAAGCACATAAGGACGAATATTGTATGACTCTTCTTTTATAAAAAGAGTTATAGTGCCACCAGAGCTCCCTTATAAAAAGACAAGAGTAGATAAACATATTGAGACTGTCTCATCTCTTGCCCACAGAATGGCTGGAGTTCAATCCACCAACCTTTTGGTCAGAAGCCAAATGCCTTAACCACTGTACCACCACAGGAGCTCCTTGAAAGTATCTATAGGTACATGTAGATGCAAACATGTAGGTACAGGCACATATATTCATTTAAGACAAATACAGATAGTCCTTTGACCTAACCTAACACTTTTCTACACTGGTTCTCTGCACTTGACCATAGTTTCATAGAACTCAGTCAACTGGCATAACATAGTTCATAAAAATCATGATTTGCATTCTAGTGAAATGAGTAGCATCTGGGGTCTTGCAATGCAGTGGATTACTTAATATGGCCTTTCTAGGCACAGTCCTCCATTTTGTGATTTATTAAAAATTTTAGCCTTTATGCCTAGTTATGGTCCCGTTTTGGAGTGAGTTGTCTGTTATGTTAATAAGGCAAGATTAGGGTGAGATAGATCTTGAGTCACCGACTTACTAGAGGGTGTGACTCAAG